AAATGCATCAAAATGAATTTCAATAATACGAAATAGGTGGCGGCCACATGCAGAGCGATGACCTAAAGCTACTCTCTTCGAATATTTTGCAACTCCTCGCTGGCCAAATTCAATTATGAGTGGAGTCTCTCTATTCAGTCTGGTTTTGTGGACACCCAAACACCACCCTCTGTTTTTGCCCACCACTCTTGATTGACGACTGCATTTTGGAAAATGCCGTGCGAATTGTTTTGTTGCTGCCATCAAAGTGCAACATTGTTGCATGCAGCAACCAGCATTGCAGCAGACACCACTGACTGCTGATGCTGTGTGATGAGTTTTTAAATTTGTTATTAAACGTTTTTTGGTCGATTTGAATTTAGATGAAATTGCCATGCCCCTCCCCCCCCCATTCACTCTCTCTTTCTACAATTCGCCTGTCGTCTTTTTTCTCTCTGCCCCTGATTTTTCCATTTCGTTGGTGGAGGGAGAAAAGCGGTCTAAGGTGGTGGCCACAAAACCCATTTCGGCGTTTCAAATTCTATAAATTTGCTATTTTGTTTGACCGTTGTACGCATATTGGCAAATTGAGTTTCGACCGGGTCTGCCTTTTGGCCTCCCCTTTCCATTTCTTTCTTTCGATTTGTTTGATTTTCCGCAGTTTTCCTCTCTTTCATGCAGTGTCTCTATTTGGCCATTGGCAAATATCATTAAAATATTGTTGAAACAATTTTTGGTTGATTGTCGCGGTGGTTGATTGAATTTTGAAATAGCCAGCGGTGCCGTTTTTTCTTTTTGAAAACTCAAAAAAAAAACTTTAAAAACTCTGTTTTTATCTAAAGATATTGATAAAAACTTTTTCACACGGCTTGTCTGGCAAACGTTTAATCTGGAAGTGGTTAAAAAATACTACCCTATATCTCGTTACTCCCATAGATAAGCTCTCTGACATGCTGATAAGCTGTATATATAATTTTATCTTCTTTTTTTTTTACAACCTGATAAATCCATTCCACCTGTCATTATCTAACCAGACCTTTAAGCCCTCAACTAGTCAAAGACCCTTTAATTATCTGCTCAAACTGCCTGCCTAACACTTTGGAGTTTCAAACTGGCTTACTGGCTTATTAATTGACCTGCCAAGAATTCCAATGAACTAAGACTTAAAAGACTTAGAAACCACAAAAACCTTTGACAAAAGCCGACCACCAATTTTTCAAGAAGCATTTAAAAATCAATAGAATCACATTTATTTAAGCCAAGAAAAGCCCAATCGAAGCTTCATTATGTTGCCAAAAACAAAAACACAAAAAAAAGATATAAAATTCGTAGAGAAAAGGTAAAAGAATCGAAAGAAGAAACAGCGTGACAGATTATGCAAACTAATTACACAAAATTAGTTGAGATTTATGCCCCGAAAAAGTTCCAAAAAAAGCCCGAAAGAGTTTCGATATTTTCCCCCTACCCAAACCCCATTTATTAATCAATTCAATTTTGCCGCTCGGCGTGAGTTTTGTATCTTTTTTGGGAGTTAGAGCGTTGGAAACCCGTTTGACAAATAGTGTGACATAATACCAAGGATAGGGAGAGGGGTTTAAGATGAGAAATGCAAAGGAGAAGGGTCAGATGTTGGTCTACCTTTTGGGGTCTTACAAATTTGTATGATGTAGAGCTTAATTGGTGATTAACCACCTGTAGATTGGACTGCATTTCCATGGACCAGCAAGGCGAGTGAAAGAAAAGTCGTGCCCGGCCAGGCCCCAAAATGAAGACGATGCCATGTTGCTGGCCAAACCCCCCCCCCGACTCCCAACTTCCCAACCTCCCATCTGGCATCTCCCCAAAAACCGAACCCATTCTCCTTGCAAGCGAATGTCATTGCCTGGACTAGTTCTCCACAGAACACAAGATTTATGGTATACAAGGCTCGGTTGGCCCGATGTTGCTGTCAGCGGCAGAGAAATGTTAAAACGGGCTGAGGAACGGCGAGGGAGGGACAACGTCGAGTTTTCCATGGAAATTGCTGCACTTCTTCGTCTTAGACTTCTTTGGGAAAATAATTCATTTCGATTTGTCAATGAAGCGCTTAGATTATCTCTCTATTAATTATCGTTTATGGTTTGTTTGTTCGTTTTTTTTTTTCCTGTTTCTTTTTTTTTTTTTGGGGGTTGCCTTTTGGGCTTGGGACCTTATCAATTGGGGGCGTCAAAGAGCACGCTCTGTGCGCTGAGAATGGTTCCCATGAACGAACGTTCCTCCTTGAAAGATAACAGTATAGAGTTTGCTCTGTTTCAGGTGACCGGTGTTTGCCCTTCATCCCCTCTCTGTGCCTTCTAAATGGAAAGCAAATTGGCCAAACCAAATATTGTGGCACCACCAAATCGAGATCTATCTCTAAGCCCGGTTAGCTCTTCCCGGGCCTCCACTATTAGCATGCTAATATAAACATGAAAACTGAAACTTATTACAAAACCCATTAGTTCCTCTGGTTTTTGGTTTACTTTTTTTTTGGTTTTTGTCCTCGGCTAGTTGGTTGATTGCCTCCCCAAAACATTTATAACCTTTTGGGTGTCTTCTCACATTTGTTGTACTCTATAAAGTGTAAAGTCCTTGTGGTTTGTCATTGAGTTAGACCCTGGAGGTGCTATATATAATATTTCCTAGACTACAGCTTAATCTTAAGTTGAATATTAGCTGCCAAGATGGCAAAAAGTCATTTGAAAAGAGAATCTTCACAAAAGCAACTTAAAGTATAGACCCTTAGTTTTCCCCATAAAGAGTATTCACACTTCGTCATTTCACTTACTAAACTAGATTTTCCTTCCCTCTGATTTCTTTTTCTTTTGCGGTTGCATGTGAACCGATGGCCGATGGCGCTTTTCCTGGGTTTTCCTACGCTATCCAACGACCAATCAATGCCAAACTGATGATGTTAATCTGACTGGCCCTTCTCCTGCTGCCTGCTGCCCTGTTCCACTACTGGCAGGGCCACGCCCCCTGGCTGGCAGTTTCCATTTACCCTTAAGTTAAAATTCATTTGAATATACAACATCCTATTTCAATTTAAATTCAAATCCGCAAACATTTGCCACGAACATTGCCAAGTCCAGGGGAAAACTGACATGGGCCACGCCCGCTCCCCCTTTAACAGTCGGTCGGGACATATCAAGAGTTGGCCATCGCTTCGGTCCTATGTCCTCCTCCAATCTCTATCTACCATCCTTAGTTCTATATAGCTCCTGGTGGTGCACCAAAAGACTCTCCTCTCCTCATGGACCTCATGTCGTCGTCGTCGTCGTTGTCGTGGACGCTGGCAAATGCCACTTACTCCAAAGTGCCGCAACGATTAACATCTACGACCTGATGGGGCGAGGAGTTGAGAGCTGGAGGAGCTTCAGAGCTTGGAAGCTGGAACAACAAGAGGTACTCCGCTCTGAATGCTTCACATGACCAGGCGGCCACCTACCGTTATGTATCTAAATCTACCACTGCTCCTCTCCGATTCGTTGTGGCATTTTGTATAGTGTGTGTATCTTTTGCATATCGCCCGCCATGTATCTTCAAGTATGAGTATCTGCGACACCCAAATTGCAAAACCAATTTAAAAAACGTTTCGCAAAACATTCCGTTGATAGTTATACACCAAATTGGAATCTGTTCGTGAGTGAAAAATATTCATTTTTTTCATTTAATTAAATGTTTTCCCCTCCCCTTCCCTCTTTTTAGTTCCTGCTCTGATAACGAGTTTATTTTTGGGGGGTTTGGGGTCATAGGTTGCATTTCTCCGTTTCTCAAAAGTTTGCGATTTTATTGATTTGTGTTGGGAGACTGGGCAGTGTGCTAGTACTGAGGTTTAAGGTTTGCTAATTGATTGTTTTTGAGGTAACTTTTTAAGAAATAGAAGACAAAAACTCCTAACCAGAAACCCCTTTTTCCAGCATGCTAGTAACTTCACCTGTTTCCCTCAAGAGCTCGCCCCTTTAAGCTCTTAATATTTGGGCTGACATTAATGCCAATATTTGCCCTGACTTGGCCATAAATCTTAAGCAGCCTGCAATAAATTAAATTAAATTACTTTTTATATACACTTTTTGTCGTTAAAGACAATGCCAATATATATAAATATATATATATATATTGAGAGGAGCTTATCACGATCGGGAGACAAAAGGCACACAGATTTTTTTTCCCCCTGCCTCACTTATAAATTATTTAAATGGAAAAATAAAGCATCGACCAGAGTCGAAGATCGCTGGAGACTGGACGCGGTCTGTTTGCAAATGCGGTCGAGTAGGAAATGTCATGAAAATGCTGCCCCAAAATGCTGGCCAAGATCATCGTTTCATCTCTCGACCAAAACTACCATACTGCCAGCGTTGATACTTGGTGGTAGTAAAACACAAATTCACAAATCGAACATGAACAAAGCAAGAAATGATAAGATCACGATTGTTCCACTCGTTCCTTTGGAAAGTAGCAGGTTCCACATTGCCGCTGCACTGCATCTTGTCAAAAAAAAAAAAAAAAAAAAAACAAAAACCAAACATTTAATTGCGAGCCACGTTCTGCACGAGTGCGAGAAGAAGATAGTGGGTATTGATTCTGTTTCTGGCCTGACCAACCAGCCAGCCAACTAACCGATCGACGGATCGGCCAACTTGTGCCAGTTATGCTCACGTATGCAAAGGAAAACTTTATCTGACAGATTTGCGTGATAAGCCCCGGTACAGAGAGAGAGAGCCAGAGCCAGAGTTTCCTGGAGTAAAATATTGCCCAGATCCAACCAACCAAACAACCAGCCATGCAAAACAACCTCAGTTTCCTGACCAAATTGGCAATCTTCTGGCTGCTGGTGGTACACGCAAAGGGACAAATTTCGAGTTCGAGTTACATAGCCATGGGTTGGCTTACCAATTGCTGGTCCTGCAATTGCTTTTGGGCCAATTAAATGGGCTAGAAACTTACCTTTAAGCCAAACTGAATATATGCTTAAATCCCACATAAAGTTAGTTGACTTGAAATGTATTAAATATTATTATTTAATTGTAAATAATAAAACAACAATTATTTAAGGTTTTTATGAACAAATTTGAGCACTATTTTAGCCATCATTGAAGGACTTTGCCAACGGGTTGTTCTCAGTTCGTCGTTTTTGTATAGGTCGATGAAGACGAATTGGAAGAACTTGAAGAATGTTGATCTGAAAATGTTTCAGTGAACTTTTTATTTGGTTCGGCTTCCTCTTCTTTGGGGTCTTCTAAAAGTTCTTTCTCCTGTGGCTCGTCTGGAAATAACTTAACTGGTTGCATGGGAATAGTCCAATTAGAAAACTTTTGCCAACTAGACTGAGATGCGTTCGACGAGGAAGATGACCATATCTTGAAGGTCGATTTTGGATTGCTCGGACTACCTGAAGAATCTTGATAATAAATAGTGGCTCCATTCGTCAGTGGTTTTGCCGCCATCATTCGGCTCATTAAATCTTGCATAGCCGAAGAGATTGGAGGACCTACGGGACCTGCAGAATCTTTGGGCTTCTCCGTAGTTTCGGACCATTCGCGACCTTCTCGACCTTCGCAATCACACAAGCCACGTTCGCCGGGCTCTCCCTTCGGACCTATTGGACCCGGGGATCCATCCCTACCCGGCACACCATTCAGCCCAAACGGTCCAGGCGGCCCAGGCGGACAGGAAATAGGTGTTAGTATCTTTTCATTTATCTGTGCCAATTGAGTTGCGATTTGTTCCAGTTTAAAAGACATTTCATTCTTGAATGTGTCAAAATCTTCCTCTGTCACCTAAGAAAAAGTTAAGATCAATTAGTGGATGTTTTACGTAAGACAAGTATTAGCATTGGTCTATGGCAGTCTTAAGGATTGAAATAAACGTGAAATTATAATATTTGAACACGAAAATCACTATAGTATTTCATTATGCAATACCGCGGCTCTTATCAATCGATCAATTAAGCAATGCCAATGCCAGCAAATATTACTTTTTTTTACATTACCACATCAATTCCAATAGAAGAGGGAATAAGAAGCAGCCAAGTTGTTATAAGATAAAAGATCATGATGTATTTCCTCATTCGAAAATATTTTATTAATAAGAAATCCAACTTTGCGCAAGCTTAGACAACGAGATACTAAATCTATGTTCTAAAACGTTGAATAACTTGCAGGCTGCTGCTAAGAGGTTTCTTATCTGGCGGCTGCCCCGTGTGTCCAGCTAACTTTATGACACCAAATTATCAGTTCGCAATCCAATCTTAGCTGAGAGTAAAAAATTCGCAAAAATTCGATTAAATTAAAATAGAATTTATATACATATGTATGTGTATATATATATATATATGTACATATATATTTCTAAAACATAGAAGATCCCTAGACAACAAAATAGCAGACAAGATTTTAATAAAAGCTAACGACGAGTAAGCGAAAGAAGTAAGAAGGCGACGGAGAAAATTAAAACGAAGACGAGTGACCAGCTGACGAAAAAGGTAAGGAGAAAACGGAGAAGATTAAAACGACGATGAGTGACCATTTGGCGAAAGGAGTAAAAACCACGGAAATGATTAAGACGAAGAGGAGAAGTTTAGCGAAAGAAGTAAAAAGGACGAAGAACTAAGACGAAGACGAGAAGTTCAGCGATAGAAGCAGAAAACAACGGTGAAGATTAAGACGAAAGCGAAGAAGTTCAGCGAAAGAAGTAAAAAAGGACGGAGAATAATAAAGCGAAGACGAAAGTTTTGGCGAAGTAGAAAACGACGAGAGCAGCAACGAGGACACAAGGAACGAAGGAGCGAGATGTTCAGCGAAAGAAGTAAAAAAGGATGGTGTAAAAAAGGATGGATAAGGCGAAGACGAATGTTTCGCCGAAGTAGAAAACGACGAGAGAGGCAACGAGGACACAAGGAACGAAGGAGCGAAAATCTGGCAAAGCGATGACGTGATCAAGCGAAGCAAAAACGACGTGACGATCGGATAGAATTCAATTTGAAACTTTTGTCAAATAATAATATAATATAAATGTAAGTGTAATTAAATAAAACCTGAATTGTCTAAATTAATCTTAGTTTGTTTTCATTTTACAATGTTTACATCTTGATAATATTTAACCCTATACGGTACCTTATAAATTCCTTAACAATCCCTTGTGCAATTACGAACTTTCATTTGAAACTTCCCATGTTTACTTCATAAACTCCTTGATCCTCAACTGTGCCCTAGGCCTTGGTTAACATAGGAAAAACAATTCGAAGTTTGTTCTGCCCCTGATTTTCCTGGCCTCGATTCGATAATAGGGATCCATTACTTAATGCCAAAGCTCCTTTCCGTGGCATTGGCGATAAGAACAAAGTTTTCTTGGCTTGGCTGGAAAATCTTCAATTTCTGTTTGGCTTCGCTTTTCTTTCCTGCTGGCGCACTTTCACCCAAAAGTTGACAAAAGTTTCCCCCCTCCTCCACCGAAGAAATTGCAGTTAAAAACGTTAGAGAAATGGCACCACCAAAGTGTGACAAAGTATCCCCAAACCTTCGTGGGGAGGGGTTGAGTGTGTAAATGTCCATTGAAGTGTAGAATTTGATTGCAGTTCGAGATGTCTTTATGCGAGAGTGAGAGTGCTGTGTGTGTGTGTGTGTCTGAGAGTGTATATGATGAGCGCCTTTGGATTCGGAGCGATTGTCTTTTATGGCTTGGAAAATCAACTTTTGGCTAACAACGCTTCGATGCGTTTTGATGCACAGGCAAAAGGAGTTAACTTTCCTTGAGTATAGCTTAAAGTCTGAGAGGCGTAAATTCACTTAAATTATGCGTAAACGTCCAAGTTTTTCCACATCGGCAATGGTAACAATTTGCTGACTCACTACGAAGAGTGGGTAAAAGTCCCGCTTCAGTCCTCTTGTGACCCACATTTATACGCTCGAATTGATTTCCTATGCTCAGCTTTGGCAATCAGCGCGCCGGCTAGCACACGCGGCGTATACGCAACGAGCTCCCTGCTTTCCTGCTTTCCTACTTTCCCTTCCTTGGCCATTTTTATTTGCTGTAAATCTGTAACGAAGGCACGCACTATTTTCCGGTATATTTATGCTGTGTCGGCGGGAACACTTCCACTCCCCTACTCCCCACTTGCCACTCACTAATCCCGAACCCATATGATCCCATATCGTCTAGGGGTCCCTTTCGGTTTTGATAATTTAATGCCTGTTTGAGTTAAGACAGTGAAAGGCCCCTTTTTTTTGCCAACCATGATTCCTCATGACTTGTTTTCTGATCCTCGCCGCACACACATAAACTACAATATTTAATTGGTTCGAAGCCCTTTGCCTAGACACGTCCTTTTCCCGACTTTTCTTTCCTTCTTTTTTTTTTTGCATATTTAATGCAATTACCAAAAGGTTCTCCCATTGGAATTGGCTCAAACCGAAAGAGAAGGGAACCGAAATTGATTTAGCTAGACTGCTAGAGTCGAACACCTTGGCTTGGCCATTGATAGGCCATAAACTGGGAGTTTGAAGGGAATTGATACCTTTAAATTGTGAAAGAAGTTTCATGGCCAAAAGGTCACCAGCAAAGGGATATAGTTCTTGGCCAATAGTAAAAGCAAGAGAAATATTTTATTGAATTTTTTTTTTAAATTATTTAATTTTTTTGTTTTTATGTTTGATACGGTTTGTTTGTCCAAAAAGTTTGTCAAATTCCCTCAAATTTTGATCTTACATTGCTATTTTAAGAGGTTTATTTTTATTATAATTTTCTTTTTCAACTTTTGTATTAGTAACTCTTCTTTTTACCCATTAAAGTAACCAACTTCAAGCTTATATTTAAGTTAAATTATTTGTTTTTGAAACTAATTTCCAACCCTGCTGCTAATCTCAATTCCAACTTTTATTTTATTTAAATCTGATGGTTTCCCAGCTCCTACTCTCGACCTTTTTTTTTTACTTTTTTACTGGCAATGATAAACAAATCGGAACTTCCCCCTGGATCCCCTCTGTACTCAGCAAACGCAAGTTTATGTGTTGCCGCGAAATCTCAAAACAATCAAAGTACCAGGAGAAAAAAAGTGGAAGAAGTGGAGCGGGTGAAAGGCGGAAGGTGGACTTTTGGTTGGGAGGGAGGAGCAGCAGGAGCAGCAGAAAGGAAAAAAGGGACCAAACTCAAATAATATCCAGCTTTTGCCACTGTTTCACTTCGCGTGGGCGTTGATGTTTGCTCTCCGAAAACAACAACAATGCGGCAACTTCAACTTTAGTGCGAAAACTTTTGCCACTTTTGTGAATGCATCAGCATCAGATGGGAAATGGTTGAGAAAGAGGGGGTGGAGTTTGTTTGCCCGAAAGGTTGGAGAGCCAATCCCCAGGATTCCGCCAACTCTCTCTCTCTCTCTGGCACTCTGGCAAAGCAATTAAAATTATTGCTGGGCGCAAAAACAAAAAAAAAAAGTAATATTTTCCAAGTGCTAAATAAACACACTATAAAAATGGCGAATTCCCCACGTTAGCCGCCTCCTCACTAAACTCATCGCACATACACGAAGTTGATTCCAGGCAATTTTTTTGTTTTTCGAGATTTATTTACATATGCCAAGATGTGCCGCAAAGAACTTTTCCTTCAGTCAGAAAATGAGGGTGCCACAGTGAAATCAGGAAAACTCTCTGAAGAAAAAAAAAGACCCCTCAAGAAGTTTCAGGGAGTTTGGGCACTGAAATCGATTGCCTACTGGTGGAAGGGTATTAAAAGAAAATCTGTTAATGGAGGGAACTGAGAAGACTGAAACAGGTTGGCTAAGGAAAGGAAATAATATAATTGAAGGTATTAATGGAATTCATTTTATTTAAAGATCAATATTAATTTAAAGAATCTACATATATTAACCCACCACAATTAGAGACAACAATTCGAATTACTTGTTAAATTCCATTTATTTGCAATCCCTTCGATAGACACTCAGCAAACTTCAAAATCAACTTACATACCGAACCCACATCATACACATAATAATAAATTGAAAACCAAAATCGATTTAGTTGTAACCAAGTTTATGGTCATAGAAACTTAAAGGCCCTGCGACCCCCGGAACCAGAATGACATCGAAGAAAGGGCATGAAGAGAGAAAGCAAAGTTCCTGGCTAAGTTGACCATAAAATTGCACACAAATTGCATCAAATATTTAGTTGGCCCCAGCCGATGCACAGACAAATAGCAGGAGGCCAAGTGAATGCCATACCTGGGCCAATAAATAAACAGCAAATATTTTATGCAAATTTTCAATTTAACACAGCATTAAATGCACGCACACACCAGCGGACTCACTGGCTCTGGGACCGAACCACTCCTTCAGAGATCAATGTAAATTCCCTTGGCAGGACACACACAAAACACCTTTGTGTGTGTATGAGTGCCAGTGTGTGTGGCTTAAAATGCCCATAAACCGCATGCGATTCCATGGAACGCTATAGCATTTTGTGGTAATTTTCATAATTTACACAGATACACAGGCAGATACACCTTAATGTTATTTGACTGGGGGCAGGGAATACCCGGAAGGCGGGATGTGCGGTGTAATAATATTAAGTCGGAAATCATTGAGCGTAATTTGTTTGTCTGCTGGTCAAGCACTTGATAGGCGTGAAAATCAATGTATTGATAAGATATTTTCATCAAATACAATTATTGGACAAATTGCCAAGCAGCTTACAACAAACAGCAAAAGGGTTTTATCAAAGCTTAGTCAATTTCCATAAATCATCGATGCGGTACCGGATTTTGGACACAGGTCAACTATGATTTATCAAAGTCCAAAAGTGTTTGATTGCCTTTGAGCTGTAGAAACAACTTCCCTCAGAGCTCATAATGCCAAGTTTGGCAAAATGTACTTATTTACTTTTTGGCCCCGCTCATTAACTTTTCCTTCACTCTCCCACCACAGCCAAGTTAAAACTTTGCCCTGATTCTAATAAACTTTGGCTGCAAAGTTCATTACCAAAAATGTATCTTTTAGCATCTTTTGGCTCATTTTCCATTCATTTTGCCATATTTACTCAAGGTGACAGGCTGGTGATTAATACGGGTGTGCCTCTGAGGAGGTTTTTGGTTCGGGGTGGCAGTCAAAAGGTTCCTGGCATGTCATTAACCTACTCCCTCCCACACACACACACACGCACACTCACTCAGCCCGCCCGCATAAACTTTTCCGAATGCAAATAGATGTGGAACGAAACTTTTCCTTTGCTCTTCAAAAATTGACATTGACCGGCCACCCCCTCCCTATATTGGTAGATTGTAATTTAAGATTTCGGTTTGCGACACCAAAGTTTGGTTGCCATGAGCTCTATCGAAAACTGCTTTTTGATACTCTTTAAAGTAACTATTTTTTAAGCAAATATTATAAATATTTTAAGGGACAACTTTGTCTGCCTCAATAACTCTAACTCGGCCACTTTGTAAAGAAACTGAAGAACCGCAATCATTAACCCCTTTGCAAGGCCCTAATAAACACTATCTCTAGCACTTTTAAGGGGTCATCAATCCTACAGTTGGCCCAAATTAAAAGACCCTTTCTACTCCTTTTTAAGGGCTTTTCAAATCATTGATGACCGTAGTAAAATCCTTTAAACCTCCCCACTCCTAACCTCAGAAGTTTCCTGATGTTGGTCATTTTGACAGACTCCGAAGGCCAAAAGAAAGACTGACGAGGATAGACTGGGAAAATATTTTACTTTCGCCTCTATCGATTGACCGACTTAAGTAAATACCCTAATTTAAACCGCATGATTGATTGCTGCTGAACAAAATCTAAACGTGAGTGGAGAAGAAGATGAAGAAGATGGCAAACCTTCAATATATAAACAGAGACCGGAACCCATCTCCTACACTTCAATTTTTAGAGCTGGCGTCAAAGTTGTCGCCTGGCACCGGATTTTGTCTATTTCAAGGGGAAGTAGTGGGTTAAGCCTTGGGGTTATGGCAATGACTGGCCGGCAAGTCATCACGGACATTGCACTTTGGCTTTGACCATCAAGATTTTCGGGGCATTGTGTGATGGCAGTCCTTTTTTTTTGGCACAAGGACTCTCCAGGCGATTTGCTCGTTGCCCTAACTAGCGGGAAAGGAAGGGGAAGCGGTGGCTGGCAGCTCATTTATAAAATTTTCCCCAGCTGGGTTGTTGCTGGCATTTTGAATTGAACAATGCCTTTGGGGCCAGCACATGCAGGATCCTGGATACACAGATCCTACAGGAAGAACAGGACCCCCTCACATATACATACATATATATGTATGTATGTATATGAAAAATGAATGGCGCCTAGACGCAGGATGCGGAAGCCTTTATGGTAATCCAAGATGATGCCCCTTTTTGCGGTTGACATGATTCACTTGGGCGATAAACCAAAGATAGCAAAAAGTCAGTCAAAGCCCAAGTAGTTTCCCAAGCAGCGGAAGGGGGACTTTAAAGGATGCGAAGGACAAAGGACATTGGCGGCGACATTTTGGCAGCCCTTTTGGCATATCATTTTGGCCATTTCTCGGCTGTCTGCCTGTTTCTATTTTTTTTTTTTTTTTTTTAAAGCAATTTTCAACGTTTGAATAAACATTTCATTTAATTTGAGAGCAAACAAAAAAAAAATAATAATAAAATAAACAAACGGAACGGAGAAAAGCTCAGGGTGCCCGAGGAAATGGGGAAAACAATTTGGCCGACGGGCGCCGCTGCCGAAACTTTACGTAAACACGTAATGCTCTTTACGTTGTTGTAGAACGCAGTTGCCGCACGCAACGCGAGCATTTTTGTAATAAGAAATTCAATTTTCAGCAACATTAGAGGCCAAAAGTTGACTCCGCGACTACGTGTGCAACAGGACTCAAACGCAGCAGCTACAGCAGCAGCAGCCACAGAAATTACAACATTTTGCATTCTTTCCTTTGTTTGCTTGCTCGCTTTCCTATGGATAAATTGCACACTTTTTCACTTTACCAGTTTTCCCAGTTGAAATTAAAATGCAAAGTGAATTTATTGCAGACCCACAGGCATATCCTAAACTTACATAAAAAGGAACTAAAAAACTAACTAGAAGGGGAACAAAGTCTGCGTGCCGCACGCTCGTCGCGATGCAAATTTTGAATTTCACTTGTTATCGATAAGCCAGGACATTTGCCTATCGGCGAAAGGGTCTTGTAGAGGTTTGCCTAATTGTCAACGGGTTCTTATTGCATTCAAATGAAATGCATTTAGCTTTCCATTTCCTTGATATGCGTGTTTGATAGCTCTGCCAAGATTAGCTTTGGTATACCTCATAAACATGCAAATAAATCATATAATTAATTTATAAACTATTAAGAAATGAATGAATTTTATTTATTATAAGCATGATTAATAATAAAGTAAAAGTTGTTTTTTATATACTAATCATTTTCATATTAAATACCAACTTTATCGAGAACCGCTTAAAGGGCACTTAAAACACATTTTCTTCTTCAGTCTTATTCATTCTGCTCCTTAGCCAGTCAAATACGAGATGATTGAATTCGTTGGAAATTGGAATTTCGGCATTTTCTGGGAAAGTGACAAAGTATTTGGATTTATTATTCAACTAATCAAGTATTTATTAGAATGCCCCGGGGGTTGACTGACACCAGCAACAGCTATGCTATAGTCGCATCCCCCATCACCTTGGGCCACCCTTTCACTTGGCACACACTTTCACTTATTACTGTTTTCCGGCCGCCGACCGCCCCAGGGGATGTGGCCCCGCCCAAATGGCCGACCAGCACGTAACCAGAGGACGCAATGTCGCCCCATTTGGAGACCGTATCTCTTTCGGCTTATCTTCTTCTGCCCGCCGCCTGTGACGTGTCCCGATGTCGTTAACTCGCGCGTGCCCCATGTTGTAAGCATGCGAGTGTGTGTTGTGTTTTCACCTGTCAACAATATTTCATGCCCACTGTGCATTGTGCATTAGAATGACGCCGCCAACAGCTGCCCGTTCCCGTACTGCGGTATTCCGGTATTCCCCTTCCACCAAAAACCCCGATTTCCTTCCCTTCCACTACTTTCTCCCTTTTATTAACCATCCCCTTAACTGCAGCGCCTAGAAAAGTCGATCAGGTGGAACGGCAGCGTGCAACGTTTACGCCTTTTGGCTTGCCGGTTTGGTATCTGCCTCCTTTTGCGAAATTCCCGGTTTCCCCACTTGGGCTTATCAACTTTGCCTGCCTGCTTATCAGTGATGTCAAGTATGGTGGTGTGATGTATCTGAAGGGAAATTATGAATATAAAAACAATAGTGTTATATAATTTTATATTTAATAACTCTCCCATTAAAAATGGTAATAAAAAATTGAGATCTTTATAGAGAGTTCCATAAATATATTTTCAGTTCTTCCAAAATAGAGCTAGAAATAAGCTAGATTTGATGAAATAATGTCCATATCGACAGCACTGCTGCACACATGTGCTTGTCCTGCGCCTAATTTTGGGTTGCGTGCACCATGCGTCGCGTCACGTTGAATACGACTTGCGTGCAGCAAAATAACTGCTTCGTGTTGGCAGCTCTACGGGTTTGTTGTTGTTCTTGTTGTCGCTTATCATGGGCCCGAAAATTGCCATGGCAACAACAAGTTGAAAACGCAATTTTCGGCTTTTGCATTACAGTTACCCCCCCTTGCAATGGAAAGAGCACAGGCCCGCCCTTTTGTTTTTCGAATGTCCTCGAGTACAATGCGGGTAATTTGAATGGAGACAGATGTCGAGATCGATAATTATTATCTTCATAGTTAATAAGGGTATGCAAGTTTATTAGGTTTCAAATTTAATTAATAAGGTGTACTGTTCTTAGATTGCAAATTGAAACAATCGTAATACTAAGTTCTATATAATCTTTATCGTTCATGAAAGGCATACAACTTTGAACCTGTAGGCGCAGAAGGCCATCTCTAATTAGACAAAATTTGTATTTTCTGACAACGCTGCATCGGCGAACAAACACACTTCAGTACCAAAAAGGCTTTGAAGTCGCCAGGAATCGAATTTAACAGTTCACTAAATGTGTTTGTATTTATGATCACTTTTCTTGAAACAATCATAGTAAACCAGTGTAAATATGAGTCTTAGCATTACCATTCTAATTTTAGGTACTATAACGACCTAACTGCCAGCTGGGCTCCCGTTCTCTAAGCCATGTTGACCTGGATGTAACTTTCTATTTGTCAGACAAATGCTAATTGTGGAAGAATCTGTGATGTCTTACAATGTCTGCACTAAGTTTAGTTGCATTTTAGCTGCTGACATGAACAGTTTTATGTGGTTTTCAGTTTGTGCAGTATTCTGTCTAATCTTTGTTAGGGAAATGACATCTCAAGATGTGCATTCAAGGGCTAAGCGATTTCTGATATTTCCACGACAAGCGCCAACAAGACATCAGGTAAAGTCAAGTTAAAATTAATAAATAATATTTATATCATTTGTACATTTTTAGTTCATTGCTGGTATTGGTATTCCTGCTGATCTAGATTATGAATCACTAACTGTGGGCTACGTTTTAAAGGCAGAGTTCCTACTACCTTACAATGCAACCGTTTGGAGGCAAGACCCTTTGTTTCCGAGATACAATACCACAGATGCCCCAAAGCAAAGGAATTTTCTTAGGAAACCCACCGATCTGCGTTGGCAAATCTATGAATTCATTGAACATTTGCTAAATGGGTAAATTTAAAACTTACAAACTTAAAGGTTTACTTATATCTTATAAATCTTTTTTTATTTTCAACTAGCTATGGATTGAATGGACATGAGTGTCTCTTAGAAGCCATCTGCGAGGCTAATAGAATCAAGTTTGCTAGGGACTTCAGTACAGCTGCTGAAATTTTACATTTGCTCTTAAGGTGAGTAGTTTTATTACTATTTTTAGTATTTTTAATAAAATAAATTTTATATTTTGTACAGTCCTTCTTCTACTTTAAACTCTAAAAGTGAAAGAGCTTTGGATTTCATTCATGCAGAAAAAGATGGATCAAAAAGGGATTGTTCGATCTATGATTGCAATACAAAGATAATTAATTGGTTTTCACTTGTCAGCAAAATGGATTTTTAAGTTCAATATTCTATTAAAACTAAAAATAATAATTCAAAGAAATTGAATCTTTTGCTTAAAAATGTAGAAATGAAAATGAAAAACACATGAAATCAAATATTTACTTTAAATGTTCTTAAACTTTGTTAAATGGAAGTTTTTCTCTATAAGATTTAAGAAATCTGAAATAAATTTAAGAAATATCTTGAATATGCTGAAGCATCTATGCATGGTTAATTTGATATGGATGCAGACAACAGAGCAGCCAGGAACCACCTCTCAGCCATATCAATAGCCACCTGAATCACCTCGTCTTTCCCCCAATTTCATAGCCGGAGAGTTTCAATTTAAAATTCATTGAAATTTCGAACGTTTCTGGCCCGCAGACACGCCAAACATGCAACACAAAAAGCTGCTGCTGCCTCGGGTTGTTTATAGGATTTGTCAAACACACAGAGGAAGGAGGAGACAGGACCAACTATGTTACACCAAAGGAAAAAAGTAAAATCTCGCCGGCGCGTCATAGTCATCACCCTGACAAAATCCCGGAACAAAGCAAAAGCCAGAGACAGGGTTGATTGCCTTTTACAGTTTGGCAGTCGCACCCACTCGTATCCCTCTCTGTTTTTTTGTCTTTTGTCGCATCGCATCAATTAAAGCATTACAATGTCATAATCAAAATGACAAATAGAATTACGCACGATGGGAAAAGCAGCAGTTGACGTAGCTAACTCCGCTTCTGCGGTGGTTGATAGCCGGCAATCCATTCATTCCGGTCTTATATGAATGCCATTTGATTCCATGCCCGTCCATCCCGATGTCGTTTTTTGTTTCGAGACACTTTCGCAATTGGACCGAATGCCAGACACCTATTCAAATTAATCCTTTGTAAGCCCGGCAACAGCATCCATCCACCACCCCAGCAATCTGCAAGGTGCACTGCAGATTCCATGATTCCCTGATTCCCCTGGGGGGATAAAAAAGGGTGACAGCCCTGGCTGCTTCTTCCTGTCAAATAACGGTTATTACGCCGCATTATACCAATTGAGCGTGGACTTTAAAAAAAAAAGGCTTCTCAGCGATTACCAAGCCCTGATGATAATGGAAACGAAAATGACATCGTCAATGTGATAGGCATATTATCAAATACCCTTAATAATATTTTTGGTTTTCATAAGTTACTTAAAGAAACTTTAAGTTATCTTACGATAATGTTTTTTTTATGTTATAATATAATAATTATTACAAGAAAAAGTTAACAACAATTTAGCATCCCCCAAGTAAAGGGTATAAAAGGCTTAATGTCGATTATAAAACCCTGAATGACAATGAAAAAATTACCAATTATTCCGCACATGCTCAGCAGCAAAAGAAAAGTCAAATTTTTTGTGACAAAAAAAAGTTTTAATCACACTTTGGCACACGCTTCTCTCATTAAATTTCCCCCCACTTTGCCATCCAGTCTTTGGCTGTTTTCTTAATTTGCGTACAAATTATTTGTTAGAGGGTAGAAAATCAAATGAAAAAAAAGAAAAGGCCCAGCACAGCTGTGCCAAAAAGTTAAGCAACCGAAAACTCACATCACAGGGAAAATTCTTTCCACTTTGACATTTCCTTGGACTTATTCAATTACTTTGTTGTTTCCTTATCTTTGGGGTATCCCTCTTCGGGATCCCTTATGATTGAATGTTTTTTTGGCGTATAGAATTTCGGGCCAGGGCTTAGGGCCAATTTTTATTTTGGGTGAGAAAGTTTTTGTTTGGCAATTTTGTAACGTTAAATTGAAAAATTTTGTGAGGGATTACTGAAGTTATTATGGAAACAATGTCATATAAATAAAGGCCCGAGGAGTTTTCACACTTCTTTTCGGAGAGGTTGGAGATGTTTTGGCAGGGCAATTATTGGGACAAGTTGGTTAGCAAATTGATTATAAGATCTTTGGTTTCTAGGGATCAAAAGCAACATGATTATCATACTGAAGGCTAACTTTTGTTAGGAACTAAATACTTAAAGTAATTTTACCATCAGGTTAAGCACAAACCACCAGCATACTAAACCTCCCACTCCAACCCCCAATTCTTGGCCAACTTCCTGTACTGCCAAAACCGACACAAACTCACCTCATCGCAGTCAAATTATGTCAAAAATGAAGCATTTCCCTCACACCCACGACGTCTGATGACGGATGACCCTCGCACACCAACACTCACACACACACACACACACACAGAAGTGTTTCGGTTAGGAAAAAAGAGGCAAAACAATATCAAACCAAAATTTGTGTATAAATATTTAGCTGTAAGCTATTTGCACTTCATGCTTGACATGCCACAATCTACTTTTAAAATATGTTAATGCCCATTTTACCTAACCGTAGCGTTTCGGGGGCTTTATACTGGCCAAAAAATACCTAAGCTAAAATATTTCTAAACTCGTTGGCTGATGGGTTTGGGTTGGGTTTTTGTTGTTTCGCTTTTTGCACCCAAATAGTTTGGGCAACAGCACCAGAAATAACAAAAAAAAAAAAGAAATTGTTTTCAGAAAATAAATCAAATTGCTTATCAAAGAGATGATTTAGTGGTTGCCACAGGGTTTTTCGAACGGTGGGTTCGGGGGTGTTTTTAGCCTTGGATCAACTTTAATAATTGCTCAAGTTGTGGCCTTTTGTGGTCCCGAGCCATAAGTCAATAAAACGGCAAGAAGCTGAAGTTTTTTGAAGGTGCTCACTCTATCGCTCTCTCTCTTCTTGCCTCATACCCAGCTTCCAGGTGGAACGCATCATATTATTATTATCTCTTGTGAAAATTTACGAGATCAAAAATTAAAATGCCCTCGAGCGGCAAGAAGAAGAAACGCTTAAGAAATTGTTGCAGAAAATAATTTTATGGCCGGCCAAGGGTTGGCCCCTATTAGGGGTTGAGGGCCAAAGTAATCTATAACCGCATCGGGGTGGGCTACATCCCGCCACATCCCTTCGGGCTTTTGCACGCTTCAACTGGCAAATTGTCCATTTATTATGCGGCAACGCCTCCTCTCTGAAAGCTTGGAAAATGAAGTGCCTTCCACCTCCCCCTTTGCAAAAACAGTGGAAGGCATTAAGACAAGCTGTCGGAGCTCCTGTTTTTTTTTTTTTTTTGGATGGGCGGAGTGGAGGATGCACTTAAGGTGCAGCATTAGCCGCACACTTTTGGCCAAGTGAACGGAAGTTGGACAATTAGAAGAGCTAGTCAAAGTTTTGGCTTGGCTCGACTTGGCCCTTTCAATGCATATTAAAAATAGTTTCCTTTCGGATCCTTTAAGTCCTGTTCCCCAGCTGTCTGTGAAATATCAGAAGCAGGAGCAGCAGCAACTCCTCCTCCTCTGTCGATATGCATTAAAAGTTGTTGCCTGCCATTACATAAGATATTAGTTGAGACAGGTCAAGGATGACCAGGAACAGGAGCGAAAAATCCTTTCCGGACATTGAAAAATTAGAAATATTTCAACCTGTCAGGTGGGTGGTTGCCTAACCAGGTAGAAGAACGCAGAACGCAGGAGCAAAAGTGCGGTCAGCTGTTTTGCATTAAGTCGGAATTATGCTGGCAAACATTTTCAGCTGTTTTTGTTATAACTTTTTCATGTTTTTCATATTGAACAGATGGTTTTTCGGGATAAGTTATTTGAGACAGGAAAGGAGGCCAACGAGGGCAAAAACTCGCGAGAAAAATAAAGAGGTTAGTGGTGGTATTGATTAAATTTAAGATGAGAAATCTTCAAGAATCCTTAAATTTTTATATTAAATCAAGATTTCCCTTTTTGTTAGCAAACCATTGTCTAAGACTCCTTTTTAAAAGTTATTTTCTGCTAAATGAACTTGAAATTCATCGACTTACCATTTTATTTATTAAGTAATGCCTCCAGACTGCTTAAAATGTATATATTCCCGAACCGAGGCCATTACGAGGGATACCAAATATTACTCTCTTCCACTGACTCTGTCCAGTTAACGCTTCAATGGTGGCAAATGGCTAAATTCGGACGCATAAAGTGAATTGTTGTATGCGCTGAGCGAGAGTCCTTCACCGCTTTTCGTCTTCCCAGTTTTCCTTTTTTCTTTTTTGAAAAACGAGTTACACACGTGTCGCAAATGGTAGGGTTGCCCCTCAATCCATCCACATGCGTTTTGGGGCTACTTTTCTTTTTGGTTTTTGTTTTTTTTTTTGGCCAGGGTAATCGAAGTGAATGTGGGATCCCAAGAAGCTTGATGGCCATCCAGGCTTCATAGATTATGGATGAGTTTCATAATGAGCCAATTTATACAAGTGTTCCACATATGCGTGGGTGTTGGTGAAAATATGGGTGTGGTTGGGGGTGTGTGCGTGTGCCTAGGGTTGCCACTGCATTGGGCCTCATCAAGGATTCCAGCACGACTGTCCATAGTACTTAGCGATGGATCTCTTCTTGCGGCTACTCTATAAGAAGAGTTATTAGATGTTATTATAGCGTTGGTCATAAATGGATTAGTATATTATTTTTATTTAAGCCAAGCCTCAGATAGCCGCATTTACTTAGAGATGTTACCAAATTAAAATCTTATCTTTATATCGTAGATTAACTAATCCACACTTTTCTTAAGAAAGAGTATTCAATGTTTAGTCTACCCAACTTACCTTAACTTATGGCTGTTTTTTTTGGCACTCGGGGGGCCGTGGGGTAATGATATATGACACCCCGAAGAAGTTGCTGGCCAAAACGCCATTTGTTTAAACCAGACGAAGCGAAGGAGCAAAAGTACAGGCATCCTTCTGCCACTTCACAGCTTCCATTTGAATGCGCACATGTCGGGGGCGAGTAAGCAACACATGGCTCCAAGTAACTCAGAATCCAAGTATCCAGGGATCCTGGGCAGCAGTTGGGATCCGGCAGTTGGGTTTTTATTTTTTGGGGGACACCAGCTGTTGCCCGAACTGTTCGTCCTGCTTGAGTGCACGCGTCAGGTGACAAACTGGAGCTTCGGTTCTCCTTTTTTTTTTCTTCTTTTGGCTGGCTCCATTGGCCTGTTGACAAAAGCATCGGCAGCTGTTGCTCCTGCCAACTTCTTGAGGCTGCGTCATTGGCTTGGGCAGTAAACAAGTCAAGTTAAGTCAGGCTGAAAGCGATATTGACTTCAAGGAATGAATTCACTTGTTGCATGGTGGATTTTCATTCTTTTAAAGGTTAAATCTAGTTTTTAACTTAACAATAATAATTTAAAGATTTAACTAATTAAAAGACTATTCATAGAACATATTCTAAGGATTTTACAGAGCTCAACTTACCGAATGTTTTTCTTTAATTCCTTCCACATTCAGGCTTTTCTTTTCCAGTCCTTGTCGTTGAAACTTAAATCGAACCATTGTTAAGCCTTCGACCTTTGGTGTCTTCTCAATTTCCAAAGGTAATTGCCAGTTCCACCTTTGTTATTGTGGTGCTCAAAAAGCTACCTGCGTTTTCAGTTCTTTGCCAGGCTAATTTTACGGTAATTTTCCAAAGCATAGAAGCCAATTATTCACCTGTGTGCCGTGCTGTGGTGGCTGTTTAAATTGAAAGGATTACTCACGCTCCAATGGAGCTCAGACACATTCTGGATACCAAAAAGTGGGAAAAAGTGTGTGGGTGCATGAACTGTGTGTGTGTGTGCTGTGCGCTGTGTCCTCTTTGTAGCCATTTCATTTACACATTCATTTTGGTATTGGCATTTTTTCATTACGCTGACATTGAACGCTGAAGGGAGCGCCTGGCTGAAGTGAGGTGAAGTGCCCGGGTAACGGCGTCAGTCAGAGAGCAATTGAAGCGATTTATTGGTGTCATATGACAAGCATCGGGGTCGCCACCTGCCCTGGTCCCTTCTGCCACCACCGCTTATTCACCTTGCTACTTGCGTAATAAAAAGTTCAAACATTAAAAGCTGACGATGCTGTAGATGCTGCACCACCCACCATCTCCCTTTCCAACCAATCTCATTGCCAGCCCTCGAGTCCTTCTCCATCTTCTTCCGACATCGCAAGTTTCAAGTGTCATCGCTGTCAAGTGCACTTAGAGAAAATTTGTTTACATATTCGCAGGGATATTCAATGATGCGGTTCAAAGGAAGCTCTTTTAAGTATACTTCTGGAGGAATTTCGAATCCGTTTTTGGGTATCTACAATATTATCTCTGTATATGGAAGTCCCTTTTAAAAAGATAATGTAAATCATATAATGTTCGGTATTTTAGCTTTCATTTTTCAATTTACCAATATAAAAATTTAAATATCCTTAATTATTCTCTCTGCAGCAATTGCCTTGAGCGAGGACCTTCCTCATTGCCTCTCCATTTTGGCCCTCTTCCATCCTTCTTTGTGTGCCAATCAAACACAAAAAGAGGGCGGTGGCTGCGGGGTGGCTGGGACAGCCTGTGGCCAACGTTTAAACATATTGAATTACTTTAAAAAGATCTCCGCTCCTCCCCCCGCCGACAGACCGACGTCGCAATTTGTTAATTTCTTGTCAACACGAGTCGAAAGACTAATTGGCCCGAAGAACCCCGCTTCGTCGCGTCACTCTTACCCTTTAAATCACTTGGCCATATTTAGCCTCTTGCCACTTTTAATATTTTCATTTAACGTCATTTACTTTTCCTCTTTTTTTATCATTCTTCATTAAACTTTGTGGCGACTGTTTTCTCCGCCGCCACCTACCCCTTGATCCATCGTCTTTTGTTTGTGCATTGATTTATTGGTATCGGCTCCCAATCGACATTAATTTTTCATCGATATTTTTTCGCTTTTTCCTCTGTGCCTCTGCTCGCTGTTTGTTTGGGGAATAATTAAATTTTCGCATAAATTCATCATCATCGATGGGCCGTGTGGCTTGACGATTTTAATTTCCTTTGATATGACAAACACATGAGATGGAAAGTTGTGGTGGTAGGGAATGCCTTTAATTTGGTCGTTTTGTCAGCGATTAAAGCTTCAAAGTGATTGCAATTATTCGATAACGTCATCAAAAGATAACCAGAAAGACAATTAGATGTGACCCTTTAAAGGCACAGAAGAAAATACTAAATGCAAAATATTAGGCCTTTTGGGTTAATTATATTTTTTTAGTTTTTTTTTGAGTAACAAAACTTTGAAAAAAAGAAAGATTTTCATTATTTTATACAAATATTTTAGCCTTAAAAATATAAATATTGTAGCAAGCGGTCACACTAACAATAAATATGGACACTTATTTGTAAGCACACAATGTTTTTCTCTCCCTTACTCTTACATAAAAATCGTATGAGAGAATACTAATACTATATGTGACCTGTTCGCACGATCAGCGAATGTCACCAATACATCTATAATCTAGGCTAGGATAGAATAAGATAAAGGATTTAAAAGCACTTTGTTTTGACCACAGAAGAGAACAGAGATAAAAATAAGTAAAGGAAATAATGCCTCGTTGAAGTTGCAATATAATTCCTCATCCATGCATTACTTATGGGCTAAATTTCGTATATCAAAAGAGTAATGGACAAAAATTAATATTTGAAAATCGTACTGGTGAGTCTTAACAAAAATCCGTTGACATTTGCCGCTTAATCACTCAATTTCTATTTCAACTTCATATGGTACTTACAAATTGATTTCCTGTCTTGAAGAGCGCTTCATCAAACATATCCGTTGAAGTCTTCAACCCACTCGACGACGCTCGACAAATGTTTCATAAATATTTCAAAGGGCTATTAACGCTCACGGATGCTCCAGAAAAGCTGAGACCAGCAGAGATCCAAGTATCAAACTAATGAGCTGTGACATAAAAAACAAAGCTTTTCCCCCAACCAACTCAGCTCTTCTCGTTTCTTCTCTTTCCCAAGGAAAATATAAAAAAAAAAAACAGAATATGATGGAGAAGTCTGTTTAATGACAAACCTCGACAAAACCTCAGTTGCATCTTCATAGCCCTCAGCTGCTGCGACGAATTTGATAGATCTATTTGTAGTTTTGTTGGGCTCTCCACCCCCCCTCTGGCAGCCTGTTAAATGCGACAACTTAAAATCCCATTTGATGCACTCTTTTATAGCTGCCAGGCAACGGACCCGCAGAAGTTCGGAGTCCCCATTTCAATCTCCATAAACTTGACGAAAAATCCCTAACCGAAAAACGGAAAATTATGTTCCCTTAATGGAGCGAATGTTTTCCTTTTATGGCTCCTTATACACGAAATGTAAACTACTTAAGCGTCAGTCTTGCAGCATGTGTGTGTGTATGGTGGGGGGGTGAGGCATTATAGAGAGGGGGGTATAGTACGAGTATATTCCTGGATGAGGAGATCTCTTCCCCCATCATACCGCTGTTGCCTTGGGGGCATGGCCAAGACAGGCGCGCCCTGTTCTCATTATGTTGCATGTGACACTGTTAATGATTATATGAATGCAGAGCACTCGTTCCCCCTCGTGTGGAAAACCATCATGCTACCATGTTGTACGTTGTACGCTCATTTCCTGAGCGCTGGCTGACTTCCCATTTGGAAAACACCGAAACCGAAACAGTAGCAGAGAAACTCCACGAGTGACGTGAAAATCTTTGCGACAAATGTTTTGGTTCCCACTTGGTGGAAATCCCCGCCGGCACTTTTTCTCCACTTTTACACTTTTCCGCCCTCTAAACGAACGGCCCCTTTCTCTAACTTTTTCCCAGACTAGTAACTAGAGTCTAGTTGTATGTCTTCTTGTAAATACATAAGAATCAGTAAGGACTTACTTAAAATGGGAAAAACACTTTTGGGGATATTAAAGAGATTTATTGGGAAAAGTTTTCCATTATAACAATAAAATTTATATCATTATTCCACGATTTTAAAGATTTCCAACATATTATTAACAGAAAAATTAAACACCTTTATGACCAGAACCTAATCCAGGGTATATGCTTACTTGAAATCTTTGTTCTTTAATTTTTTATGAGCTTTGGTACGATGAAATATAAAATCGGGTTGAAACTCCTGTAGTAGAGTGTGAATCGATTGTCAGTCGTGGACTCCTTCCGTTAGTCTATCAGTCTGTCATTTGGTTAACAACAGCAAAAGGCACTGCACATAAGCAGAAACAAACTAAACTAATTGCCAGTTTGTCTCGCCCACGAAGGTGGAAGAACTTCTAAGTGAGAGCATAGGAGGCAGTCGTCGGCATCGTCATCGTCATCGTCAAACTCTTAGCCAAGTTAACCGAGTAAGCCACAGCAAGAACAGCAGAGCGGCGGTAACAACTACGATACGACTTCGACAAACGCTGTGGGAAAAGTTTACAGTTGTTTTATGCTGCCACCCCACACATCTTGATTGGGTTTTAATTTAGTGTTTTAGTGCAGAACGCTAATTTAAAGGGGCGCCCTAATAAACAACAGACAACTTTTAATTCCCATGTTCACGTCCTGTATCGGTCGTTGATTGATGTGGCGGCCAGGTTATAGCCTCGCTAATTGCCCACATTGTTTTTAAATATTTTATGACAAAAAAAAGCTGGTCTAGGGATTTGTGAATGATGTTCGTTGCCTTTGACTAAGTTAAATGATTTAAGAATGTTATTTTTGAACTTGGTACTTTCCTTTTCATTACTTAGATAGTTGATCAATGAAGTCTTTTGTGTTTTCCAATAATAATCAGGAATCTGAAAAAGTAAACTGCCTATTCTGATCTCAATATTCCCTAATAATCTCTTGCCTTTCTCTAAACCTTTGCCTCTTTCATCGGTAATAAAGTCAAAATCATCTCACAATCCCAGCTTCCACATGTTCAATGTCTTCGACTTTATGGCTAACGTATGCATAGCACTTTGGACATCATAATTCCGATTCGTATTCCCTTTGCCAGTAAATGCGGCTTACAGTTGAACCCTTTTGGCCCCATTAGGCTGCCACTCACAGCAGTTTAATATCAATTACAAGCAACTAGGGCCAGGCCTACACCAACCACACAGACACACATGCATAAGCACACACCCCGAGTATGTTAGATGCTTTCCCACTTAGACGACGATGACGACGACGACGACCAAAACCAAAAACAAGTCTGTTAATATTTCCAATAACGCCCGAAGGCCCATTAATAACCCATGCCCATGTTGGGGTCGAGAGCAAAACCAAACCGAAAGGGCGGGTGGTGGAGGTAAATGTTGTTAATAGTCAGGGACATCGATAGCAAAAGCGACAAATTTGCACTAAATGCAGCAAGTGCAAGCCATCTGGTGGGTGGGTGGTTAACCCGAACAGGAACTCCACTTTCGAACCGCCTACCCCTAAAAACCAAAACTCCTTATATGAGGAGGTGAACCCATCAAAACCCAACCCTTAAATAGCCGCTAGTCAGGCGCAACGACTTAACGGCAATTAATGCAAATGAAGGTGGATGATGCTGGTCACAAGCCAAGTAACCCCCAGCTGTTTCTGAGGGGGATAATTCCATGGTTATGGATGATGGAGTTGGTGGGTGATGTGGATGGCCGGCAGGATGCACTTGTGCATGCCTAATTATTGGGACAATTTGCTCTTGGAATTTGCCTATTAATTAGCCATTGCACACGGCCAGACATAGGCGATTCGGTTTGCAGTTTGGATTTGTGGCAGCCTTTGGATAATGCACTCATTGATTATAATGAAATCAGACGGGATATATGTATGTATGTATGTCCATTTGTGCGTATGTCTAGGCCGCATCTTTTAATTTGCAAAACGCTCATAATTAATAGCCATGTCTCGACCGCAGGCCATAATTGGCCAAGAAGACAATGGCCGAAACTAAGGCCCTTTGGCGTTCAAAATAAATCTGCTTAAAATGGGTTTCTGATATAATTTACGTTTGTTTGACGCCAAAATAAATGAAACTTAATTGCGGAAACACAAATTGGAAACCAGGAAATTTAGCAGGCAACATTATTGGATTTGAAATTAGAAACTAACTAAGCTGGTTTCTTAATGCGGAACTTGAATTTATTGAAGCAATAAAGGTGTATTTTAGCACTATTATTATAGTTTCTATTATGCAATTTAGTTTTAGTGAACAGAAAATCACATTTACTGTAACTTTTCGTTACTCTCTTAGCCAAAACTGCCCCCACTCCTGCCTACTTTGGCACAAACAATTTATATTTCACCCGATGTCATTAAAAACGAGGCCGCCAAAATATAATCACGGCCCGGCAACAATAACAACAGGCAGTCGTGCGTATTGCCCCGATAAAGAAGAAGAAGAAATCCCATGCAGGATATATAGCAAAATATATATATAAAAAAAACATTATTAATCAATGTCCAGGGCAAAGCAGGGCACAAAAGCTGAAAGTTGGTAAGCTTACTGTTGCCATGTCTTTGACTGCGGCTGTCCCAAATTCGCGCGCCCCTTGGGGAAACCTCCTAGAGCTGACGATTGCTATACCCCCGGAAAAAGGGGATCCACCAAGAAAATTGGTGATGCTGGAGCAACACCATCCCCATTGGGGAAAACCCACCGAATGTAAAAAAAAAAAGCGGCTTAGGGCAAGGACACAAAACGCCGAACGAATGAACGAACTTTTGCTAATTTTCTTTCCTGTCACGTTGATTTTTTGTTTACCATTATAGCTGAGCTGTCGTCGCCTTGCCTCTACCACCACCTCCTTGTTGGCCAAGTTGATTTACGTTGCAGGCGAACGGCATTTCAATTAAATTTTATTTTCTATGAGCCCAGCTCTTGCCCAGCTAGCTAGCCAGTCAGGCAAGCCATCCAGCTCAAATCAATGAAATATAATCGAATTAATTACGTCTAGCAGAAGGACAAAAAGCCGGGGCTCCCTGTATAGGTGCCACATAAATTTGCGATTCGATTGCGTTTCATTGGCCAGCGATTTCTATGGATTTCGGATTATTGTTAATGGCCAAATTCAGTGTATTGGCTCATTCAGTAGACTTGGCTATGTTGTGGGGGAAAAAGGGCGGGGGCTCCCTAAGGGGAGCTGGGAGGTCTGAAATATCCTGGCTAATGTCAAAGTCCTTCAGTCCTGGTTGCCTTTTTAATTAGCATTCAGCTGGCGGACTCCTGACTCTTTGTTGCGTAATTAGCTGAGTTTTGATTTATTGCCGGACAACTTCGAGCGAGGCCAGGTGGGTTGGCCCGGGATTGGAGACAGCGGCAAAATTAGTTATGTAAATATTTGCGGAAAATTAAAATTGTCAAGGGACAAACTTGAGCCAAAGAGCAAAGTTTTCTGATGATTGGATGACAGGAAATGCGTGGTGTTTTTTGCCATGATTTATTTATAGCAGTTATATCTAAGAGAAGGGAGAATAACTCTTTAACTAACTTTTAACCAAACTAAATTGTTATAAGCCAGGGAAACGCCTGCAAGTTGAAGAAGAAAAACTCTCAGAATTCGAAGCTTTGTTTGGCCACAAATTAAATTCTTATAGCAAACACGCAAAGGCCCCAATGTGTATTCATTAGATACACCCCCAATGGAGGGATTTTGGTCAGTCACACGCATATATATAACATATATATAACATATATATCCAACCCTCTGTAGGTTACCCATACAAAATCGAAATCGTTAGCCCAACAAATTGAATCGAATCGTAGCCTTCCATTCCTCGATGTGTTCGCATTTAAATAATAGTCAAAGATTATCAATTAAGCCATTGGTCAAATTAATAGTCTAGGCCAGCTAAAGGACCACGCCCATTGCTCCACTACGCCCCCAGGACACTGAGTTCGTCCTGCTGCCACTGTTGTGTTATCGTCATTGTCGTCATTATGGCATTAAAATTATTTAATTATCGAAGGTTCTCCAGTAATTTACCCTTTGTATTGGAGTGACATGATTTAAAGTGCATGTCGGATATATATATATCTATATATATATATATATATA